AGACAGACAGACAGACAGACAGACAGACAGACAGACAGACAGACAGATAGATAGATAGATAGATAGATAGATAGATAGATGGATGGATGGATGGATGGATGGATGGATGGATACTGAAGATAATGATAAATACTGTAGATAGATGGATGGATAGATGGATAGCTACTTTATTAATCCTTTCTGTCTGTCTGTCCGTCCGTCCGTCTGTCCTTCCATCCATCCATCCATCCATCCATCCATCCATCGTTTTCATCAAATACAACATATGTTATGAAAGTGTTATACTGTGTTTTGATTGTTCTACATGTATTGGAAAATTCCATTTTAAGCTCAAATATGAATTGTTTCATAACACTTTAAAACATATAGATAGTAAATTTAGATATTATACTACAATGTCCTACATAATGCTAAATAAATGTTTTCAGTTAAAGTATATAGAAACAAATTCAAAAATGTTCAATACAAAAACAGCTGGACTTTATTTTTTGTATTGAACGTTTTTGAATTTATCATGTCCTGGATGACTGAGAATCTTCACCAGTATATAGAAACAAATACGGATGCAATCATTGTGATGAGTCAGCTAGGATTTTTGGTTTGATCAAAGTTTATGATCTTTGTTGCTGATGCGTTTATGTGTTTGATTCCAATGTCGGTGGGTGACTGAGTGAACGTGGGAATCCTCCTGCATTTACCAAATCAAGAAGTATGTTTCACCTACAGTGTGTGGGCTCTGACATCAGTACCAACCACTCTATATACACATCCTCACTGAAGGTCTAAACCTTCCTGTGGTTTACATAAAACCAAGAACAGACATAAAAACCTATTGACGGGAGTTTGACAAAAACCTGATTTATAGCGATGACTCACGACGAGCGAGACAACGTGACTCACAAGGACACGGCATCTCACTTTCACCACTCGGTGACGCTGCGAGGGAAAATCTTGACAAGAAGCAGCTTGTGTGTGTCCTGCTTGATTAAAGAGCTGCAGCTAACATGTGCATTTAAATGAATGACTCTCATTTTTTCCCTCCTGACAGGAGCTGATGATGCCACTGAGACAAACTGTCAGCAGGTGGAAACAGCGCGGCCTGAAGATGGGGATGTTTCCAAAGGGACAACTCCACCAAGGGTTGACCTGCCTCTGCTCCTCACAGGAACACAAGAGGAGAATCGACTTGAGAAATTAAACTGGAGACGTCTAAAATAATATACTTTAAGTTATTACTCAACTGTCAACTCAAAGATGTATTTTCATGACAAAGTTTATTTATTTTTCCTATTTTCATTCCAAGATATATCTATTTTTAGCCAGTTTGCTGTCTGGAAATTAACTTGTGTATACTGTATAGTATTTTTAAAATATATCATTTTGGCGTTTTGTAAAGATATTTTCATATAAGGTTGATTTATATTTCTGCAACATGATTGTTTCAGAAATTCTCATCATTGGGGCAGAAACTGTATCGCAATACCATAAATTGTTTTGCACTTTCTCACACAATTCCATCTCAGCTATCTTAATAATTGTTGGAATATCTCACGTATAATTATAAATTAAACAACACCAGCGTTATTTTTACATTCGAGTCTGGAAAATGATTAATGAGTGATCTGAAGTGAGAGTGTTTGCGTGGAAGTTGCTGAAGTGCTGCTTCAGCTGACCCGGAGGAGGCGGTGTGTGGTCTCCCACTGTTGTTGTGTCCAAGGCCGGCCAGACCAGCGTCTGTCTCTCTGTTTGTTTAAATCTTGTCTGAGAATTTTACCACTCTCTTCTTACCAACTTCTGTTGCTATCAGCCTTCTTGGAAAAAAATAAAAAACACCCTTTCTCACAAAGCATCCATGATTTTCCTATTTTCATTGTGGCCTGAGAGGCACATTAACAGACGGATGATTACGCCCAAAAATTCTTCACTCTCTGACACTTTTCCAATAACTGTAAAGTAATTGTGTGACAGGCAAAGGTAGATAGGTTTTTATCTTGAGCCGTTGGACAAATCTTAACATAATCATCTTTACAGATGTTGACCTAAACTCTAGTGTTTTAGTTGCCTAGTCATCCCCATCACACGTTCTGTGGTCATTCTGTAACCCTGTCTGCAAACCGTATGTCTGACCAGCTTAGGTTTAAACTTCGGACCAAGATCGGTGTTTGCCAACATATTCTGTTTCTGTCATCCAGCATAAAACTGAACTTGGAAGAGGATGTTCTTGTTGCCAGGGAATGCAGACTGGTGGAGTATTGTTTCTCGCTGTTTTGGGCTCAAGATGGAAAACGACAGCAAAATGAGGAACCGCAGTCTTTGTCTGGGAAGCAGCAGTAACGGCTAGGTGCTAATCGGGTCAACCAGCCTCCTTAAACACAGCAGTTTACGTGGAGAGCAGCTTTCGTATGAGTAAGATAGTGACGAAAACTGTCATTATGAAAGCTTCCAGATGTGTTCATTTTCAACAGTTATGGCGAGGTTATGTAACTGTACAGAAATGTACAGGAAGAGCTTAATATAAAGTGGAAAAAAAATTCTAATAAATGTTGGAGAAGGAAAAAAAACTTTGTATCAATTTGTATCGTTATCAATGCAATATGGTTATCCATCCATTCATCCATCCATCATCTGCTTGTTCTGGAGTCGGGTCATGGGCGCAGCATCAGCTTGAGCAGGGAGGTTCAGACATCTCTTTCTTGCAGCTCTTCTGGGAGGACTCCAAGGCGTTTCCAGTCCAGCTGAGAGACACAGGCTCTCCAGTGTGTCCTGGGTTTGCTCTGGGGTCTTCTCCCAGTCAGATGCCTGGACAAGCTCCCTAGTGTATGGGGCATCCTTACCAATTGTCTGAACCACCTTAACTGACCTCTCAGTGGCTCTGCTCTGAGTCTATCCCAGACGACTGAACTTCCCCAATTGTTTTTTACTTTTAGTCAACTGAATAAAGAGTTTTCACAACAAAACAGTAACGATGAATCCAGATACACAACAGGTGACTATTGGGTGTCGTTTTGTGACTATAAGTTGTGAAATATTTCCAGAAGTCCTTGAGACGTTAGCACACATGACCTGAAGATGTTTTATTTGTATCTGTGTTACTTTATGGTTATTACAGAGGTCCAATGATTAAAAGAGCTTTCTACATTTTCATTGTAGAGTTTTTTCCAGGTATCCATCCATTTTTTTTAACCAGATTTTTTGTGCAAGGTCACGGAGAGCTGCTGCCAATCCATCACATGACAAATTTTTAAAACTACATAAATAAAATGGTTTATTTCAGCTCACACCGTAACGCTTTTGTCTGGTGAGCAGGTGCGCTTTAACAGTTTGAAGACAGACATGAAGAGGTTAAACAGTTCGGTGGGTCAAGAATAACAGAAGCCTCAAATCCCACCCAAGTCATGATGCCACCCAGCTTGAAAGAAAAACAAGATTCATCACGAGTTCCATTCGGTTTTGACTCAAAGTTCCATGTAGTCACTTGTTTCATGTGTGATAGTGTATCTGCTGACCTCGTGTGAGAGGAGCAGCCTAATCCAGCCGCTGGTCTTCGGTTGACCTGGATGACAGAACTGAGGAATTTCTCTGCTCCATGTCTAAACCAACCTACCAGGATGCTCTCCTAAAACTGCTCTTCTTTCAGCTTCCTGCTGGCAGTCAAGTGGCCCGGCTTTGTTGAAACCTGACCCACAAATACCAAAACCTGCCCTTTGTACCCCCTCCAAACACAGCCCACCTACGTGCACGTATGCCCAGAAAGTGCCTCTTCTTGTTGCCATCAAGACTTTTGTGTGTACGTTGCTGGCACAAGACAAAACCTGCTCCGTCCCCACCTCACCTGCCAGTCCACTGGATTTAATGTTCTGGAGCCAAATAAATGATAGCAGCCAGTTTTTTTTCTTCTTGACTTCACCAATCTGTGCTTATGTAAAGCTAACAAGAAACTGTCCAGATGTTGTGAAGCTCCACAGCTGAGCAAACGGCGTCTGCTCTGTAGCATGGTTTAAGTCACATTGTTCCAAATGGAGCCAACTTGTGTTCTGAGGAACAGATTTAATCAGTTCATTTTATCTTATGATTGTTTTTACCCCCCAATAGGACAAAATTATAAAACCTAAAGCAATAAATATGGTAAAAATGGTACAAGATGAATAGAAAGTACCACTACTACATATTATGTTGGCAATGTTGAGCCAAACCCCTTTAGAGCTTCTAAATTGGCTTCAGACTATTTATTTTTGTTTAGCTGTAGACTTCAAACCTTCAGTAAAGAAATCAGCTGCCTAAATAGTCACTGTCTGCAAAATATTATCTCTAGAATTCCAAGACAGACAGGAATGGGGCTGGCTAAATCTAAGTAAAGGGAAGGATTTTCCAGACATTTTCAATAACATACACAATCTATTCAGGCAAAGCACGCTGGCAACTTCCAAAGTGTTTCAAAATAGCTAAATCTCTCCAGTTCATTGACTTATAAAGTTGAAACTAAGCACATTTTGTTATAAATATCTGGCATCTGTGCGTTTATAACATATACATTGTCTGCAGCATGTTTTCCAGGACATCATTCAGAACCACTTCATATGTAGAGCCTGTTTGAAACTAATTCTCTTTGAGGTCTTTGAATCAGGCGGAGCATCATCCTCTCCAGATTGAGTATAATTCATTAAAGTGTTTGATGCTTGAAATGGTCTATTTTTACAAAATCCTATTTTCTTGGTAGAAACGCATGTGACTCCCTGGAGATATTCCCAGGTGTGGTTTTCTTTTCTTTTCATGCAGATAAAATGCTCCAGTCCTTTTAAAATGGATGCATCTTAGACAATCCCCATTGTATACACGTTAAAGTGGGAACAACAAAGTCCATGCTCAATAATCCAGGTATTCAATCCAACATTTTTCAGTCAGGTCATCTGGACAGTTTCTTTTTTTGTGCTAAGTGGTGGATTCTGAGTCAGTGTATTTTAACATGCAGTAAGAAAAGACAGACACGTTTTAGTAGAAGTGGCATGGATGCAAAAGATCCTGCAGGTTGTGTCTTCACAGAGGTGTGTCAGCAAACATGCCACCAGCGTCCCTCTGCAGGTCTGTTTGTCTCCGAGGCCACAATCTGCTCAGTCACATCCCTCAAAGGAAAGAGTCCCGATCCACTGGGAGGAGGAGGAAAATTCATTTTGCACTGCTGTTAATGAACAAACTCCTTTATACTTATATAATATACTCCTTAGAGTTTTTATAATAAAACACAAATATACATCTACAAATGATAAAGTATCTTCAGCAATTAACAAAAAAAGAGAGGTTTTTTTTGTATTCTGACATTTTAACTAAGTAAACTTATGCAAAAATTGTCCCAAAATCTCTTCTCAGAAATGTTGCTTTAAGTTTAACTTAGCAATTAAATTCAATGAAGCTTTAAGGCAACTGCAAAGTTATATTACCAAACATTCCTTTTTTTGTTTCTGCTGCCTTAAATGCACTTTCTGCAAGTATTTAATTTGTTTTTGTTTGGTGTTATATTCACTGCATTTACACAGAGAGGATAATTTAATTATCTGTCTTGTTTTTGGAATTTTGGATATGAAGCTGGAGCTCTTAACGTCTTTAGGACGGTTTCCACCAACGATGGGTTCAGACTTAACAATGTTCACTTGACAATAATCCAGCTGGATAGAAGAGTCTGAACTGAAAGCTGCTTTAAAAAGATTTAATGACAACAATAAAAATATACAGTATCCACATTTTTCCTTAAAACTTGTAGGAACTGATGATGTTCACAAAACACTTATATGGAGGAAAACAAACCAGAGACAAAGAAACTAACCGAACATTTAAAGCAATTAAACAACACAAGTAAAACAAAAACTAATTCATGCATTTGCTTTTGCCAATCATCATAATAAATGTTGGCTCATTAAAAACTCCTAGTGTAACTTTCTAGTTTCATTTACAAAATTTTACATTTGCAACCAATAAATGTAACTTAAGACTTGATAAGTTCAAACCTGTAATGCAAACTTCTTGTGCTGATCTCGTCCATGAGATGTTTTTTTTCAAAGCTCCAGCAAATATTACAAATAATGAAGATATTTAGGCCCTGAAAATAAAACAAAAATATATATTAAAACAAAGAATTTTAACAGGACTTGACTGAAATCAGACTGATTAGAAAAAAAACATCCAGACTTGTACCAATGCTGAGACAATAAATTGTGTTTTCAACTTGTTGCTGCTTTTTTCTGTTATATTAAATCATTTTTGGTATTAAAGCCATAATAATAATTGCTGAAAATTTTTTAATTTACAAATGAGTATTTATTTGAGTAAAATCTACAATATATTTGAACTGTTTACTTCAGTACCTTGTTATTCGACAGTTGCGTGTCTGAACATAAATTCCTGTGTACATGATTTCACATTGTACAACGTTGTTGGTGAAGTCCGACTCCAGGACAAGGAAATTAGGATTGACTGTAACCTTAAAATAAACAAATTAACAAATAAGAACATATCTCTGCAAACAAGTTGTTAATGTTCTGCCTTGTGAAATAGATCAAAAGAACCCAGAGTTCAGGTGGAGTTACCTGTAAGATGTAGTTTCCTGGGGGCACATCGGTGATGTCGATCCACTGACAGTCGATGTTGGCAGCATAAGTGTCATGACATCCTGGACTCAGTCCCTGAAAATACACAAACCAATCCACTCAGTGTTCTGCAGAACTGTGGTTGAATCAACTAGTCGACTAGTCGATCCTGGGACACCTCGTGAGATTTTTTATTTCACATCGACTAGTCACAGTCACGTGATTGCTGGCTACAAAATGGATTCTTCCAAGCAGATGGAAGGTGAGGAGCAGGCCAAGTCTTGGCAAACAGGTAGAAATGCATCAACAGTGTGGAAGTATTTCACTAAAGATTACTCTTCTGGTTCAACTACTGTAACATGCAAAATCGGCAAAGCTGTGCTGAAATACAACAAAGTACGATCTCGATGCACAGTCATTTGAAAAAGCATCCGCTAATGCTAACTCCTGTACAACCTGCATGCTCCAGTCAATCGTCAGTTACCTCCTTTCATCAAACACCCAGCTGTGAGTTTTTTTTTTTATTCTGCATAAACGTTTGTTCTGTGAATATGTGTAATATGGTGTCTTGAGTTCCTACGACATCACAGCGACTAGCCGACTCGACTTTTATCATGTTGAAGTCGACTTTAAAAAATATGAAGCCGTGCAGCCCCTAGTGACAACTATTTTCCAGCAAGCATTTCAAACGCAGCAGAATTCAGTTTAAATTGTCTTTGTGAAAGGAGAACTGCTATAAGAATCCAACACTAAGTAGCGTGAGGCCTGAATCACAGACAATTACAACAAACATTCTCCTGTCAGCAAGGAAAATCTTCTTGGACTGGTGTCCAGCGAAGGTTTTAGTTACATAAACTTATTTGAAACGTGATTCTGGACGTTCTGCACAGAAATCAAACATGAATGTGCAACACTGAGCTAACCAGAGTGTTTCTTTATATTTAACTGACTTGATCAAAAAATGCTCTTTTTCATACTAATGTGTTGGAGTATCTTATAGTATCTGTTGGCTGAACATTTATTGGTTCAACAGCAGTTTCAACTTGATCTACAGTAAAAGACATTTTAGACTGAGAAAGGGAGATAGTGAACAAAAAGATGACATAGGTTTGAATGTTTAAACAAAAGTGTAAAATCTAGACAGCTGAAGCCAAGATGGCAAAAAGAGAAACTTCAAGAAATGCCTGAGCATAGCAGAGCTGTGAAATGACACAGTTGATATTTTATCAGGCTGTACTGGAGAGCATTATCAAGATGTCAGAAAGGTATGATGATGTTTCTGCACATGCAGGCAACAGCCAAGCTGCTGAGTCTAAATCAGTCTGTCATGATGGTATGGACTGAAACTTCTGCCTTTTTGGACATTCATGAGGAGTCTGGACTCAAACAAGCACACAAAGTTTTCTCCAACTTTGCACATCCTTCATTAGGAGTATGAGCTCTTGACTTATAGCAAAAAGTAGAGTTTCTGAACACAGACTGAACTATTCTAAATGATGATTTAGTCCAACTTCATCCATATTTGAAACAATGACTGTCTGTCGCTCCTTCAGTAGATCATACACTTTTTGTGCTTTCTGTTTACATTGTGGGAAATTGCTTTCATTTATTTATGATTTTTTTATGAGGATATAGTTCAAAATAAGTTTCTCCCAATGGACAATAAATTGTATTAAATTGCTTTTATCACATAGTATTGTATTGCATCGTATTGTATCGTATTGTATCGTATTGCATCGTATTGTATCGCATCCCACAATATTCCACTGCATTGCAATAAACTGCATTTTATAGAATTTAATTGCATTGCATCATATTAAATCACATTGCATCTCACTGTATTGCACTGCTTTGTATCGTATGAGAATATATTTTAGTTTATTGTGCTCCCAGAACCAGATGAACAACTCTTCAACAAATAATTTGACTACATGACATGCAAGACAACGATATTCTTCATGATCTGGACATTAGTGACATGTAACACGCAATATATTTCTGTTTATTACCTGAGTATGAGATGTGCAGGCATAGCGCCGCCTGAATCCATGATCACAGCCTGTGTCCTCCAGACAGAAACTGGCCTTATGTCCCTCAGCTACTTTAAGTCCCGACACCATGTCCAGCAGGTCGTAGTTACTAAAGGCATCCATGCTGTGGTAATGTCTGAGGGAGTGGGACAGGTCAACAAAATAGGATTTTATTCATCCTGGTTGGGTTTCTTAGGGTCACCATTTTATTGTTGAGTTTTGAATGTGTGATGTTTTCTCGGCTTGTCAGATCCAAGTAGAGTTGTACTAATACCAACAACAAAATAAACTGCACTCACTGGTGGCAGCTGTGCCAGTCCCACTGATATTTGGGCTTAACAGGGAGGAAGTCTGCAGTTCCTTGGTTCTTCACTTTCTGTGGGAATCGCAGGAGGACCCTGAAGTCGATGTCTCGCACGGTGGGTGAATATGCAGACCTTGGATGGACCAAAAGGGAAATAAGATAAGAAGCACTAAAAAGGGCTAACAGCTGAGCTCCAAAGTTCAGTTTTCTTAAAGCACAAATGGTTTGGTTCCACTGAGCTGAATAAAACCAGCCCAGAACATATGTCTTGGCAGGACATAATGTTGGCAACTCTCTGCTCCATATAGGAAGATTAAACTGTTTGCACAACTGCATTAATAAAACAATCTCAATGCACTGACAGCATTAACTTATACAGATGGGAGAAATCTGAAAACAGTCTAAAGCTGAGAATTCACCGAGTGTTAAGTCATGGAAATTCATGTGTGTGAGAGCACGTGTCTGCATGACGGTGCCTACGTGCTGTCCTGTGCGTTCTCATATTGAATCCTCCTTTGCCAACACAAATTACCTGGCCAGACAGTTTTCTTCTGCAGCACAGCGGAGTGCGTACATCTGCATGCGTTGGACGTAAGCACCTGCCTGGATGGCATACGGGTCTGGAATGAGGTCTGGAAGTCCTGAAGGAGAGGATTACAAATCTGAGATCCTAATGTTTCAACATTTCCATGCTTAAACTAGTTCAAGTTAATGCACGCGCTGCTAAAAATGACAGCTATTATCCATGTTTGACATTCTTTAAGCATTATTTAGTTGAAGTATGTTTCAGCAGAAATTGCCTCGTAGTTAAATTCTCTAAGCTTGGATTATGGCGTAGTTGCATGCCCATTTCTGCCCAAGAATGCTTTTTTGTTGCCAATGTTGTCTAAATGGTGATTGGAAAGTCAGACAGGTACTGTACTAGGTTTACTTCAGTGCATCCCCAAAATTTTATAGAATGTTAAAACCTTAACTTTTATAGAGGCTTATTGATGCGTGAAACCATCATGTTTTCTCAATCACCTCCACAATTTGAGCCTAGCATATATTATTGTCACCTCTGTCACTTTTCATGCGCTCAAGGAAGAAAAAAACGAATAAATTTAGTAAAAACAAGGTTTTTGAGTCTGACCTTGCTTTGGAAGCTGGATGTTGTTGAATTTGACCAAGTGAAGCAACAGATCATCAATATGTACCTACAAAACTGTATCAGACACAAATCTGGACTCACTATATGACATTCTGTTTTGTCCCATAGGCCAACATTTGGTTGTTGTTTTGTTCCTCCACAGGTAGGCAACGTTCTACACTATTTAGCAGCATAATACTCTGAATTACATAATAATTGCATTAATAAGCTCATTGTCTTGAGTTTAACTGTATTTATTCTTTGATCATATTTAATCAAACTTTAAGGTGATTGTTACCTCTTCTCTTGTTCCTGGTCAGTTTTGATGCTTCCTCCCTTCCAGGCTTTAGCAACACGTTAGACCATTTTGGGCCCAATTTCAACAACTTTCTTGGTTGTTTCAGTTTACTTGATGGATTATACATCCTTTAAAACAAAGTGAAATATTTTCTGTGTTCGCAATGCATCTTGATGAGAACCTGTTTTCCACCAGTAATGGTTAAACATGTTGCCAGATGAAACATATTTATTTCTTAAGAAAACTAACAGAAACAGATGCTTAATGGTAATTTTAACACTTTGTTTTTGACAGTGTAGTTTATACAAATATAATTTGCTCACTTCCAGTGTGATTTATTGCTTTTTGTAAACTTTGTAATTCATTTAAAAATACATATTAAAAATATATGTATGACAGCTTCTGATATGTAACATTTAAAGCAGAAATGGAAGATATTGTTCAAAAATCAACTAAATGAAATTATTATTTTTCTTATTTATGGTTTTAGACACTGCTAAAATGGTTCAAGCCATATTATGTGCACTCTGCCATGTTTTCAGGGTAACCCAGGGTGGACAAACTAAATCCAGCCTCTATACAGAATGACTTTCACATTTTAGTGGAAACCTTCAACACAGAACATAAGTGAGATGAAGTAAATCTGCATCACGTAGGTTTCACTGCTCCTTTAAGTGATATTAAACTGAACCTGAGTAATTTAAATCTGTAGGTTCAGGATCCATGAAAACACACTTTAACGACCAGGGTACTGTCTTTTAATCTCAATGAAAGTGAACTCAACTTACCATTTTGGAAATACCTTGTTCCATACCCCGAGCCAGGCGTGCGGGCCACTGGCACACCTCTGCTGGGATACATGTTGTAGAAAACGGAGTTCCTGTGAGTTTTAAACGGGTTTCGAGGGTCGTCGTTGACCATGCCCACTTCATCAGCAGCAGCCTCGTTTGAAACATCCACACTCAGAGCAGGAAGTGGAGCTAGAGCCCCAGGTTCAGAATGATAAAGTGGGATGAACTGATCCGTCTGCCTGGAGACGAGCATCCCAGCCGGCACCGCGCGTAATGGATGATTTTGCGCGCCGAGTCCTGGTTCCTCACCCCCGGTTACAACACGATACACAGCTTCCCTTCTGCCTAATACATCTGTTAAAGTTCCCACTGTAGAGGAGTTAATGCGCCCTCCTGCTCCAAACGGGCGCTCATGCTGCTGCATGCTCCCTGACGCGCGCTGTCCAGCGGTGCGCCCTGATGGCTGATCAGTCCTCTCAGACTGTCCGGCTCTGCTGGCTGTGCCATCCTTCCTGCTGCTCACAGAAAACCTCGACTGTCCTCGGGACCGAACCGGAGCCTGGAACTCTGAGCCCGTGCTCATTAAGCTGTAAACCTGCCCGTTGGTCGCCCATTGTATGCGGTGCCGCCAGGGGACGGCTGCGCGCTGTTGGCCAAGGACGAGGGGAAGAAGTCCTTGGAGAAAGAAGATGAAGAGAAGGGAACATTTTGCCATGACTAAACGTTTGGGTTAGTCAAGAACTACGGATGCGCGCAGAGGTTGACAGAAAGGATGGACTCTCACTTCCAAGTCTCCTACAACAACAACATGCCACTTCTCAAAAAGACTGACAGCTGCAGAGAGGAGGGACTAGGCTTTTCAGCTTTTTCATTTAAAAAGTCCAGTTCCTTCCCTAAAGTCAAAGTACTGGAAGAAATTTTAACTCATTCCGTGCCGTGTTAGATACACATGGACGTTTGCTGTGCAAACTTTGCACACAAACTGAAAGCCCCCAGATTGCACCACCACCAAGAAAAATAACAATTTGTTAAAGAAGTAACTTTTATTTTGGCTTATAATCTTTATTAGTCATAAAAATGCAAATAAACTGCATTCTGTTATCAGGATTTGAAAGTGTCATTAAGAAATGAAACAATAGTTTACCCATTTTAAATAGTTTTTAAATGGTTTTTCATTGTAAACCTATTAAAACTAACAAGAATAAGTTTTAGAATATAATAAATCAGTTAATTAACATTTGAATACATTTTATATCCACACAGTATATTCACCACAAGGAGGCAGTCGGTGTCTTTATGTTCTCACCCAGTTTTTGGTTTCTTGCATAATTTGAGTAAAATTATGACATCATGGATGCACACACAGCATGACTGTGTTTTATTTTTAGACCAAAGTTTCAGCATTACTACATAACATTTTACAATGAGTCCTTTTTATTTTAAAGGCTTAAGTTTTTTTTTTAATTCAGGATGTTTACTGATACTTAAGATAGGACAAGAAGCACAGCTCAGTTTCAGTCCAGTTTTATTTAAATGTACCACGAGACAAACAGCAGGAAACCTTTAGTAGTTCAATGACATGTTCATTTAGAATAAATAGAATCTTTAGTAATACTTCCACTGAAATTGGTCTGGATGGTTGATCAATTTTCTAAACAAATGTTTTTGGTAAATGTTTAAGTTATTGGTATCTAAAAGATGAGATAATGAAAATTAGAACATTTCTGAGGACGTTATGAACATACAAAGTGTAAACGGGTCTGAGATGAACTACGTTAAAGTTCCTGCCAGTAGTTCATAATTGTCCCCATGGTAACCACATGTGTCTGTCACTCCCTGCAGCAAACTCAAGAGATGCATACAGAAGCAGACTGAAAAGTAAGCCTAAAATAAATGGTTACTGTTTAAAAACTATAAGCCCTGTTTTAAAAAGTCTTTACCTGTGAGTTGCAGATGACGCTGATGGTCAAACACATTTTTAAATAGGAATAATAACAAATCAAAAATACTTTTCACTTATAGTTTTGAAGAGGGCGTGTGGTTGGAGGATGAGGAAAGCAGCTGAAGGGTGCACAGGTAAGGTTTCCAAAGATTCACCAGAAGATCCAAATTCTCAGGAGGCTCACTGGAAAGACCACAGGAAAAGTAATCACAAGGCTTAGAGATTCACAAAGGGCTATAAGCACAACCCGTAAGCAAACGGTACCACTTTACAATAAGGTTTCCTTTATAAATAGTTTATAGATATGTATTAAGTCCTCTGTAAACACTTTATAAGTCATTAATAACTGCTTATTATGTATTAATTAAGGGCAACAGACAGACAAAACTGACCAGTTTCTTGCCAAATCTGTTCACCTATATATTTCATCTAGTTGTTATATTAAACATTTCAGACTAAATTACTACCTTGTAAGCACAATAAACATTTGTAAACCTATTTCTTTAGCATATAACATTGTACTTCATCACTGCATTATGATTATCTACAACTAATATTATTTTATATAAAAAATAGGTTTACAAATGCTTATTGTGCTCACAACTTAGACTGAAATGTTTAATGTAACAACTCTAGATGAAATATATAGGTGGCAGATTTGGCTCACTATTTGTCAAGAAACTGGTCAGTTTTGTCTCTCTGTCACCCTTAATTAATGCGTAATAAGCATTTATTAATGATTTATAAAGTGTTTATAGAGGAATTAATGACATATCCATAAAGTATTTGTTAGCATCTATAAGGGGAGCCTTATTGTAAAGTGGTATAATGCTCCAGCGTCGACGGAGAGTCATCAGCTGCCAGGAGCCTCATCAGGACACATTTTCTGCAGGTGTGGAAGTATGGCGCCCTCTGGTGACCAAAAACAAGCATGGAACAGGAACTCCCACACTTTTTGACAATTCAAAAGTTAGAGGACATCAACATTTTAACATTCTGTGGCAAAATCTATAAAATAATCAACACTTAAAATAGTGATTGTAAGAATGTTGTCAAATATCAAAATGCCAGTTCAGCCATGTAAAGTTCAACTGTCTGTGGTAAACTTTAAATGGTGTTTCTGCTGTGAAGTATGAGCTGTAGAGCTCCAAACAGGGCTGGGTTTTCTCATCTGTTTCACCAAAATCCCATTGACTGCCATTGTTCTCACAGAGTTATTTAATTTTGATGTATGAAATACTGCTAGAAGTCACGACACTCTATTCCTATTTAGTCTGCACACTTGGTATGGTTTCAATGTTTAACTTCAAATCTGTGTGACAATACACAGGACAGATATTTGAACTGGATGTTTATGAGGGTGTTTCTGTACTTACGCATCGACACTCTCAACCTTTCAACGTTTCTTAAATTATCCAGTGGTTTCCTCTTTAGATTGTGTTTTGAATGCTGCAACAGAACGTCATCATGTAAAAATACGTCCAGAAATGTTTAACTTTTAAAATTAAACAATGTTAAGGATTTTTCAAGGAGCATTACACAACTTTTTTTAATGTCCTTACAGTTTCATTTCTTCAAAAGGTGTTAATTAGTTTACATGTTTGGCATATGTGTTGAGCAAAGCTGTTTCATCTCATTTTTAGACGTCACTTTTGTGCTTCTTACAATTAATTTATTGGTTTGTTTTGTTTTATTACTTTATTGTGTTCTTTTAAATATAAAATGTATCTTGAAAGGGGGTCATTTTTGAACGTCACTGATTAATTTCTTGTAGGAAACATGCTTGATGTGAGTCGTAAATAGTTGAAGACACGAGGAGTCATGCGGAGTTGAGTGTTTGTCTCCTCTCAGAGGAAATATGACCGAGTGTGTTTCTTCTGCCAAATAGGGCATCAAGCAGGTTCTATTCTTAGACAAAAAAAAAAAAACTTCCCTTGGTCCAAAGAGCAGCGCTGCCCTGCTCTGCTGTCTGCGACGGTCCAGATTTATAAGAAGCACAGAACCTCGGCACTGGTTTGGCACAAGAGCTCCAGAGCAGGACATGTAACCAACGTTATAAAACCTGTAAGTATTGACGTTCAGTTAAATCTTTCCATTGTGTCTGACCTGAAAGTAAACAAACCACAACAAAAAGTTGCCACAAACAAAATAGCTTGGACTGTAAATTCTGAGTGCTTGGAAATAAAACGGACCGCAGCATCAGATCCTAATTCTTTTTACGCTTTGAATATATCTTATCCCATGAATCTAGGTATCCAGGGCTGCTCACAACTTTGCCTCTTGTGAGATTTAACGAAGATGATGGTCTTATAACGGTTTTACTAGAAGAAACATCTCCCCCTACGTGGAATATACCTGTTGTGTCTCTCTGGGGCCTCACACTGCCTTTCTGAGGAATATAATGATAAACCCAGAGGGCTTTACCACAGATCATGGAGAGACAAGACAGGTGAGATGCTGGAAAACTGTTTCACAAATGAATGTTAACAAACTATTTAAGTCGACAACAAAACTGAGCTGTTTGTGAGTCTAACCCCAATGAAAATGGAATAAAACCTGAATAGTTGGCGATCTGACAGAGCAAGGCAGCAGATTTGACACATGTTTTGCTCATCTCTGGTTAACCTTTTGAAAATATCATCCCCCCTCATCAGCTCTTCTCACGTTTCAGCTCTTAGCTTCAAGCTGCTGCATCCATCTTCATATTTCCATTCATTGACACATCACTTTTAAAACTTTTTAATAGATAATCTATTGAAAAGGTTATACTGGTGTTTCTGCAAATGTTGCTAAAGTCAGCATAAAAGTTACTTTTTTTTCTTAGAACCTGAACTTCTACTTTCTCTCCCACATTATGCAACGTGTTCTGTTTCATTCTCCATTTTAATGCTTTGAGTTTACAGTTTTGTAGTTTTTAATCAAGTAAATGTTTGAAAATGGAACTGTTATTTCTACAATTTTCTACATTCAGTACAATGTTTTTATCATTTAGATTAGCGCACTGACATATCATCAGAACGACAAGTTTAATTTAAATTTTAGTGTATTTTAGATCCATCTGAACAGCATCTAAAGCTGAAAAAGCTTCAGGATTGTTCCTTGCATTGCTTATTTTCTAAGACATTTCTTCCTAGTTAAACAATGAAATCTGCACTCAAAGTAGAAGCGCGGCATAATGCTACATAGCTACTAATGTCATGGTAAACTGTCAATATTAATCAAATGGGTTAAATAATGTACCATATTTTTCAGACTATAAGGTGCACCAGATCATAAGGCGCAATAACAATGAACGGGTCTGTTTTAATTCACAAGGTGCAAATGATTATAAGTCGCTTTAAGTGAAACAAGTTCATTTTGACAGATATTTGAGTGCCGTGTACCACATAAAATCGGTTCGAGCTCAGTAAACACAACCAGAATTAATACATAAGGCGCACTGGATTATAAGGCTCACTGTCCATTTTTGAGTAAATTAAAGGATTTTAAGTTTGGCTTATAGTCTGAAAAATACGGTAACAAGTTAAATAAGATCAACATAATTGGCTTGTGTCAATTTAACTACCATATTTTTTCTGTATAAGTTGCAGTTTTTTGTATAAATTAGCAGGCCTGTGACTTATACAGCAAAGTGAGGTAATTATGTTTTGTTTCCCATATTTGTAACCCAATTTTTCAGAGTCAGAGTCAAAGATTCTTTATTGTCATTCGCACCTCATGTGGTACATGTCGTGGAGCGAAATTATGTACACAGGGTCCCAGTTACATCCAACAATAAAATGTATAAGGAAAACAGTAATAACATCTAAGATATGAACTAAGAAAAACATCAACTAAATATACACTAAGCACTCATTTCCTGATTTGATTGTCAAAGTGCATATATTAAGGAAAAGTTAAACTGAGACACACCTTTAATATGATATCAAGCAAATAATTGTTTTTAAGTGTTAATCTTGTTAAATTCTTGTTAAAGTCCTCCTGTGTACACTCCTGCGGCTGCCATTTGGCAGCCAATTGATTTTTGCACACCGGCCCACATTTCTGCACATTTCTGGGTTGTCAGCAGTGACGAGTAACAAACGTGACGCGTCAGCGGTGATGCATAATAAATGCGACTTACGGCGAATCAACGTATTTATATTTTTTTCCTCTTCATTAGATATATTTGGACTGATGCAACTTATACGCCGGCAAATACGGTATGTATCTGCTCCTCAGTGAGTGAAGTTCTACCAGGATGATTAACTCGATCCAGAGTCACTGTCAGGTTTTACCTCACAGATTTATCTCCGGTCAGTGATACGCTCCTAACTCACGCAGATTCAAGCACGACCGACAAGACAGCGGAAATAAATCTTTAGGTGCAGGGAGTTTAAATTCACTTTTCCAGAAAGACATTATTAAATTTATCATTTAATTTAAACTTCTTAAATGCCATCTCTAAACTTCTCTTTATCTCTTATCTGCACGGCAGTTTATGAAACTGGATGGTGGCAGAACAAAAAAGTATAGTTCTTGTTTCTGGGGACTTCGTTTGACACAGAAGGGTTAAGAATAAAGGCATGAGAATGAGATAGCAGGTGGAGAAGGACCACCAATATGGACTCCCTGAGAAGATTTTTGACCTCGCTGAGTTACCGGACTTTTTTTTCTGGTGTTCGCTTCATGACATTTTAAACCAGTCAACTCCATATCACCTGATCACATGTTGGTGTGAAACAGGAGCCACTTCCAGCGCCTTGAGCCTTGCCCTGGTAATTTACAGTATGTTTTGATGCACACAAGACTATATATTTTACTTACAGAAGTTTGTCTATTACCAGTTGATGACAAACACAATTAAAACAGTTATCATAAAGTCTGGACTTTGGTTGTTCTGGTTTGGAAAAGTAAAACACGTGTTTAGCATTTCCTCACCACCGATCATAGTTGTGTATTTTAAACAGTTACACATTTAAGCTTCTAAGTGCTTTGACGTGCACTTAAATCAACTCCTAAATGGATTTGTGCCCAGTTCACTTTTATGTTTCCCATCAAGTGTGTCGTAAATAATCCTATAATTCATTTGGTGTGATAACCACAACCTTTCCTGTGGCTCAGAGGTCCTCGCCCACTCACACAGGATGTCTGTGGAACATGTGACACGCGCTTATCTCTTGTGTCACCGCCGCTCTGTCCTTATATGGACGTCCTGGCTGCATGTAAGGGTTTCCATGATGGTGTCTCAGTTATTGGGTGACAGTAGTGGGGGGATGCAGGTGTCTGAGTCAGACCAGGACCTGAGAGTTCAAATGAATGTGTTGCAATCTGTATTTGTCTGTACATTTGTTAAATATATGACACCAGAGGCACTTGGCCTAAATTTAGTCCAGCAGAGCAGTGACTTTCTGCTGCAGGCTGACTGGCATGTAAAGACTTTCAGAGATGCATCACAAGACCCTAAAAACCCCCACCCACCTGACCCCTGACACACACTCCTGTGGTCCTGGTGTTATTTGGGACTGGGCTGAGTCCTTTCCTATTATACATCGTTTGAGCTGAAATGTTTGATCACCTGGAGTCAAAAAAATAAAAATATATACTGTATATAACTGTAGGACACCCTATTATCAGGTATTTTTATTTATTTACATTTTCATATTCAAAAGTCATAGTTCACATGTTTTTATTTACTTTTTCCAAATACTTAATTGTCAATAAAATAAATAAATAATTAAACTACTGCTTAGAGTCCTGCCTCACTTTGGGAGTTGTCTCGCGCTGAGCGTTGATAAATGGAGGGGATTTTTTTGAGAACACGTTGGATTCTTTTTAACACGTAATTTTGTTTTTTTTTATCAGACATTATAAAATAATAAAATAAAATACAGCACCTTTACTTCTTTCGTTGGCAGTGTTACAGAACGGGACACAGACAAGTTGTCTGGTAATAGGATTTATTATCAATATAGCAGTGGCTTTTGTTCAACCCATGCTGCTCGGGGCGTCGACTGTGGCTGAACATATACAGCAGGGCTATTCAACCAAATTGCTCAGGAGGCCACAGCTACTGAAAGCCAAGAGCTCATTGGCTGGACATCCAGCAATTTTTGTCATTAAATAAGTTTGTTTAATGGTTTAAAGTCTGGGTTTATTTGAAAATGAACTCATTGGTGGGCCGAACTAACTTTAATCAGGTCTCCTCGACGCTCAATGGGATTTACCTGTCTAAATAAAGGTTGAATGAATGAAATGAGTTCATCCGTGGGCCTGATTTGGCCCCCGGGCCGCCAATTGAATAGCCCCGATACACAGTTTATTCTGCTGCTGACTTCAAACTCACCATGAGATTTAATTTTGGGTGGGGGTTAGAGGTGATAGGTTGTATTTTCAAAATTACAACAACAGTTTTCTTAAATTTTCAACTATTAAAGGAAAATAAAATCAAGAGGCAACAGAACGGTCAAATAAAGTACAAGTACTCCAGGTCAAAGTGCTTTCAAAGTGCATCCTAATGAGACTGGGGCCCTTCTAATGTCTTCTCTGTTGAAAAAGACACCCTCTGTAGGTTAGACATGTTTTTGCTTGACATTACTTTTGTAATAAATTGGTAAAAGTCAACTCACTTCCTGTCTCCCTTACTCTTTTTGTCCTGACAAAAAATGTTTAGAGAGGAGGTGATTCTGAACAGTTTCTTGTCGACAAGAACTGGTGTTGTTTCTTCACATTTTGTTTGTCTCACAGAATAATATTCTGTAACACCCAGTTGAGGCGTGTACTATGATGTTGTGATACTCATAAATACTTCCAAACATGCCCCAAACTCATCAAGAATCTCCAAATGCTTTAACTTCAGGTGTCATTATAGAGATGTTTGGCTAAAAGTGAACAGAACAGAAAAAATTGTGTGGGACATGGTCAAATTCATTTTTTGTCTCAGTGCTGGAGTTTTCAAAGTTTGAAAAACAAACTTCCCCCAGATAAAGTTACCATGCACCTACAGTAAACAAACACTTTGCTCATGAGCAAAATAAATTAATACATAATCTGTACAAAGGTCGTATTCATTTAGAACTAATGTGTCTGATTTTCTTTATATCACTGACGTTTATTTATTGTTTTCACAACTAATGTAGTATTTCCTCTCTTTTATTTGCTGAGCATCCCTAAGGCCGCTTAACTAACTAATCCTAATGGCAAATAAAAATACTTGTTCCTCCCTATTCCCTGCTATCTATTGCTATCATTTATTTCATTGCTTTTACTTTATGGAAATAAATCTAAAGATCTGAAAAGCAGCAGGATGCTATCACTCATCCTTAATAAACTCAAATATTTTGGCAGTAAAACATGAGGTTTATGACACTTTACAAGAACTAGATTAGTGTGTGTTGGTTTAATGAGATGTGGCTGGAAGAAAACAGGAAACGTAAGGTTGATTCAGTTGCAAGACACTTTTTTTTTTTTTTATCTCAGTGGGCATTTTATTACTTTCACATAAAACATGATCAGATTGTAGATCAGTTCCTGGTGTTCAACACTGGGTAGACCAGAGGTGGCTTTTTTGTTTTTAGAAAATAAAAAGTTACACAGGATTATACAAAACGCAACACTTCTGCTGTTCATTCCTAATAAGTTACATAAATGTCTATTTACACATCAGGCTAGACGAACAGAACGGCTGTTACACATTTACTCAAAATGATATTTACAAGTCTATACACATCCTGGTGTTGGCCCGGCCTGCTGGAGAGACGGAGAAGAGGAGCAAAATTACTCACAACGATCTTTAATGAGCTGTAAGAATCAATGGACAAAATGAAACATTATTTTACCTATAAGTTGTTCAGCAGTGAGTTTTGAATACTTTCGAACACGTAGTTGTAGATATCTTCTGTTGTTGTGGTTCCGTCGAGGTATTCTGAACACAAAATACAAGTCAGGGTCCAAGATGTTTGACTCCAGGGGTGTGGAGAGCTCGAACGCTAATTTACACACAAATGAAATTTGAACAATAGTTTGGATTTGCAAACCTATTCTGCTGCAGTTGTTCTCCATCTCTCTGCGGTGTTTTAGGTACATGGGCCAGACGTGGCCATCGAACAGGCCTGGGGGGTCAGGGACTGTGTACGTTCTTGTACTGCAGGGACACGGTCAGGAATTTTCACACTGCTGACGACTGAAATGTGTGAACGTGACTGATGAGAGCTTTTTTTGTTGTTGTTGTTTTACCTTCTCCTCCGCTTACATTCCTCGTAGGGAATGGAAATGTAGAAACACTTGTCGTAGGTGTCGATGAGGGGCCTGTGGAGAAAAACCAGAGCTCAGGTCAGCGAGAACTTTTAGAGGTCAAGCAGTTGGTGCAGAAATAGATGAGACGACCTACTTGTAGTTGTAGATGAGGAACCCTTCTACGATAAGGATATGGATCCCCTCCTCGGAGTCGGATCCTTCGGATTCAGGTGACAGGCTGACTCCGTGCGAGAGCGCGAACTTGACTGGGTTCTCCTGCCAGCCTTTCACAGTGTTCACCATGGCCTCCATATCTAGAGCGTTGATCACTGAATCAGAACAATGAAAGAAAAGAAAAGAGCGGGTTTCACCACACGCGCAGTAGACACTCCTCACCAAATGTCACATCAGTCACGGTAAGTGAATGATTGTAGCATTCACAGAATATTTGGTAGAATGTCACAAAGTGATTGGCTGGTTACCAAACTATAGACAAAAATGTGCAGGAAAGGAAAAAGTACATTACTGTACTGAAAGGTTTTCCTAAGCGAAATCCACTCTTACCATCCCACTGTCTAAAGCCGTCCTCCCCGACTTCTATTTGATCGGGTTTCTGAAATAACAGTCACCAACAAAACATTGCTGCAACCTAGTAACCAATCGGAGCTGATCACACCTGGACAGGACAAGTCAAGGACTCATCTCCACCAAAAGTGAACGCGCAGGGGTATTTTTCACGAGTTGGATGATTTCCGTTAATGTTAGCCTTACAAAAAAATTTCAATTGCTTTTCCTTGTAGTTGTCGCAAAATGGTTGAAGATCTGTTGTGATCTTCAATTATGCTTTTTTCAATTGAAAAACTTAAGGAATGGAACATTTTTCTTGTTTTCGAACAGTCTTTTATGTTCGTTTAGTAAAAAAAAAAACGCGCAGCTACTTGTTAAAAAAAAGTGTATTTTTATTTTTCTGTCGTCAAATGTCGTGGCACAATAAATAAAAAAAAAGTGAAGGAGTTTAATGGCCTTGAATGCAGCACGAGGAAAAGTTATCTTTAGCAAATCTGGTATTGCTAATAGAAATCATTAGTTGCTCGACTTGCACCATTTTGGACAAAGTCTGACTTTAAGTGGGGATGCTCAGCCTACTCATTGGCTGTCCAGGAGACAACCAGCCATATGATTACAAGGCTGCTGCGATGACAGGACATCTGCAGGTCAGACTGGTGATCTCTTATTTCTTAGCATCAAAAAAATGCTTTAAGGGTAAATTTAGCCAAATTAAAGATCTAAAAGTTAATCCAATAATTTAACAAATTCTCATTGTTGCTAACAAATTAAACATTTGGCAAGCTCAGAAGAAAAATCAATTCAAACTTTGTCTTACCTTGAAAAAGTCATCCTGATGCACCACGCAACAGTTAGATAATGTCTTTAGAAGTTTATTTGTCAAAGTGGTCTTCCCACCGTTGGTCACTCTGAATTTAATGCCACATAGAAGAAAGTTACATCCCTAATTCTTGAGGACCTTTATGAACAGAAGGCTGTGACTGCTTTAAATGAGACTTACCCTCCAATGCCAATGATGAACTTCATCTCCTGCGTCTTCTGTGTTGGTCACCTCTGGAATTCAGTAAGTAAAAGCAGGGAACCCAACCAAAGCAACCAGTCTGTCAAAGGCTCTCACTAAAACTTTTTCCTTCGTCTCCACCGCAGATGTTCCCTCCTTTTACTACTTCATTGATAGACAATCTGCTTGCCAGGCATATAAAGGATGTGGCCGAGGCGTCACAGCCACTCAAACCAATCCGCTTCCGTTTCCACCAACCAATGAGCTGCCGCTTCACAGACAGCAGATCCAATGATCCGAGCAGGACTTCAGGAGTCTCACAGTTGCATGAAAGTAGATCCTACAATTTTGCACCTGCTGTCAGAGCTCAGTGAACAGATGCAGGGAAAAAGTATGGCTCTAACTGCAGAATCTGACTCTTATTAGGTTTGGTGATAACATTTAGTCCCTTGTTTTAAAGTTGAGATTTGAGTTTTTGTCCTTTAAAATGGATAATTCTTCTTTCTTTAGTTGGATTTTATTGTAAAAGGGTTTTTAGTGCAAGAGAGGGCAGCCATTATAAATCAGCTGTTATTCATTCTGAGACATTTGTATCGCAACACAAACCAGTTTCTTGCTCATACAGCCTTGGGCGAGTACAAACCAGGCGCTCTATATTTAGTTGGCTGCGTGTGGCTCCTGCATCACACATATTTCTGATGCAACCAGAGTACATGGCAGCCCGCCATGCGAGCGCAGTGTCTCAAGTCACGGCTAAAGCTATCATAAAGCAGATTTCTCTGATTCTTATCGTCACCGGTTGTTACTTATCTCTGGAAGTGTGCAATCTAACTTTGAGTCTATTTCATTCATCTAGCGCTTGAATTCGTTATTTTACAGCCTCTCTTATCTGTGGAGCCGTAAAGATGTGAAGACGGTGAACTTTGAGTCCTGGCTGTGGAAGCACGTGGTCACGTGTTTCATTTCCAGGACACTCGGTGCAGAAGTGATGCTTGGTGACGTGATGGGATTCAAAGATTTGTGGTGGGAAGTTTATGAACCACAATCATTGCACATAGGTGAAAAGCTGCTGAAACTAATGTTAGCAAAATGTGGGCCCGTTGAAGCTTTTCAGGGTTATAAAACAACTCTTTTTCAAAAATGCCATAGCGGTGTGAAAGAATGCTACCATAGCTAACGGTAAACCTGTACACAAACATTCAGCAGTGTCAGGACACTGACATGAACACAGTTTATGCTCAGCACACACATTCAAAAAGAAACACAGTGGTTTGGTTTAGAAAACAACTAACTGAACAAACAGTGCCAAGAAAAAGTGTAAAAAAAACGTACTCAAGTGGCTTTATTTCTTTCTTTTGGCTTCTGTCTTTTTCTTCACACTCTCTGCTCTGTGACTGTCGTGACGTAAAAGGTGTTATCTAATAACTATTAGACAAAACATTACTTCATAAATGACTAGATTATTTATTTACTGTATTTTTTGGACTATAAGGCACATTTAAAATCCTTTAATTTTTTCAAAAATCAACAGTGAGCCTTATAATCCAGTGCGCCTTATAGTCCGATAAATGCGGTAATTAAAATGCTACTTTTACGTGTGTAACTCATTTAGGTAGATGCCAAAAGCAACATAGGGAGATTAAAAAGTTGACTTCTTCCAAAATTCAAAATTTTTAAATAAAAAAAAAAAAGAAGATTTTGACATGTTCTCTTTTATATAAGCAGTAATATATATATATATATAAAAAACCCAGACATAAACATTGAAATGCTCTTTGTGTTCCCGGAGGATTTTACCTAACTGATTTTGGACATGTTTTTTTAAATTACTGCACCTGACCACTGCTGGCAAAAAATACTTTCCAAGTTATAAATACTAAGAGTCGTTGGCATGCAAACCATTCAGTCAGCGATTCACTACGGAGCAAGAATAAAATCATTCTTGGTAAGTTTATTTCATTATGCTAATCCAAGTACCCTAGCTGTAGTATTTGCAATGTTTTTTTTATTATCATTTATATTTATTTACTAACATCTTCCCTCATGACAACACATTAGGATCTCCTCAATGCCATCAAAAATATTGTTTTCTGAAATCTGCTTTAATGGTTCTAGCGTATTTTAGCTTTTAGCTATGATTATGCCACTTTTGACTTTGAGCTACACTTTTGCCAGTTCTAGTTCAGTTCTGTTAATTTTGTCTTCAACAATTCAGTTTCAGCTTTTCCAACAAATTTCATCAAAGTCGTTCAGCAGTCAGCATTCACACTGCTTTTGCTCAGAAAATACAAATTTCTCTTATGATTATAGCTACGCACTTGGTGTTTGACATATAATTTACACGGCAGACATAAAAATATTAAAGTCAAGGTGCAGTTGGCATCACCAAGTGATTATGTAATGTGATCAAACCTTGTGTTTAACCCTGCATACACAAACACAGTAAAGCGTAGGGTCACATCAAGGGTATAAAACACCGTGGACACCTATTTAGATACAGGACAGTCAGCTGATTCAGAGAACATCGAATGGGTCGGCCAAATGTTTCACAGATCACAGTTACCCTCTGTAACTCAACTGCCAGAGATGTTCTGAGCCGAAGAGAAACACAATAAGAAGCAATAAAGGGATAAATATATATTAGATAAAAGCCAAGCCATCCTCGCAAGTTATCTGATCTGTTTTAGGCGAGGCAAATTGATTTATAAAGAACATTTCATAGCAGAGTGCATAATATGACATATAATTAAATGCAATACTAAACAGTTTCAAGTCAGTTAATTAATTTACTCTAGTATGTAGTCAAGTCTGAGCTTCACGGACAGTTTGTTTCACAGGTGAGGGCCATAAAAACTAAAAACAGCTTCATCACATTGGGCTTTGATTCATGGCACTAACCTGGTGTCTAATGATCTGAGTGGTCTGGACGGTTTAAAGTGTGTAAAATGGGTTCTGTGGAGCTAAGACATTTGGTGGTTTATGGACATGAATGAACAATTTTGTAACGTATTTAGTAAAAAAAACAAAAAACGTGGAGTTAATGGAGAATTGAAGTTATATGTTGAGATGTTTTTGGTCCTCATTCTGACTCTGGCAGCTGCATTCTGAACCAGATGGAGTTGCTGAAGTGCATTTTGAAGTATATTGCAATAATTTAGTTGACTGGAAATGAAAGCATGACTGAGTCAAGGAGGCGAATCATTCTGACGCGACTCATTTTAGCTTGCTCTTTTCTTTATTTTTGTACAAACAGTAAATGGCACATTTTCATGAGTAACACTTAATAAGACTCTCTCTTTAAATATATGTCATTTCATATGTAACAACTTACATTTTCCATTTTGTAAAAGTACGTTTTTCTTTTGCAAATCTGACAGAAACCACGTATCAAAGGAGGGAAGGGTACGAACAAGCATGCTGAGTGCATATTTAAAAAAAAAACTGCAACATGTTTTTGCATCAGTAACATCTATTATAGGTTAAAAAGAAAAAAATATCATTGCACATTTCAGCAAATATCCATAAAACCGAACAAAACTCACGCCATTCATGTGCAAAAACAGGTTTCTTGAAGATATGTTACAACTTGCCGAGGCTCCAAAAAGAGTTTACACTTTTCATTTATTTAAAATAGTTGGAATCATGCTTTATGGTTCAGCTCATTCCTACATGCAGGAAGCAAATTGCTTTTTATTTTAGCTGTAATGTCTTGCAAACTTTTGTTACACTTGAGAACGAGGAGAAGAATTGAGGGATGATTGTCCTGCACTAATAACTACATCCGTTCAGGTGGTTTAAATCTGGTGCCAGAAGCTTGAGATGCTGCTTCCTATTCGTAAACCATCTCCAGCTCATCAGAATGTTCTGTAACACAAATAAAGCACGATTAAACCAGTACTTTCCACTCACAGTTAAACTCTGGTGCAACTTCACAGTATGTTTAGATTCGGCAGTGTGTTGAGCGTAGACATTAATCCAAACTAAATCCAACCTGACACATATCATTTTGCTCTAGAGACGGTGCCTGTGTCCATTCCTGGGATGTCAGCCCATCCTCTGGGTGGAGGCTCTTTTGATATATGAGGGTAGGAGCCGTGCATGTGGTTGAACTTCTAAAATATTCTTCCATATTTTCCCCCTGATAACCCACCCTGACTGGTCTCGGTGGGTATTTCCCCCCCAGATTTCATGACAGGTTCTCTGGCGCAGATAAATCTCGTCAGTGAAGTCTGGTCAAAAATAGACCCGATCGCTTCTGCACAGCCCGGTTTGAGGAGACGAGCAGCTGAGCTTTATGTAACAGTGGGCGCTGCCGGAGGATTAACTAACATTTCTTGGATTCACACACAGTCTGAATTTCCACACCTGGAACATGACTTGGCAGAAAAGAGCTTGGCTTGATGCATGGCAGTAATCAGAAGGTGGTGTGCAGCAGATTCACTTTCACAAACAGTTGTTTCTCTAATCTCTGTTGAATTGGATGCAATGACCAGCAGTTTTATGCTCTTTGATATCGAAACACTTTTAGGTGTGCAGTTACAATTCCAAGAAAGTTGCAAATAAAATACATTTCACTGCATGGGCTCACTTCAACAAATGTAAACACAGTTCACTGTGCCATTCACAAAGGCTAGTAAAGCTTTGTTACGTATAGAAGTGACCATGCCTGTTATGTGCCCCAGGCACATTGGGCTTGCTATTTTGTCCTTTGGACACATTCTGGGTTCTTGGTTAACTAATTAACCTTTAATTAATTTAATTTTAAGATGCGGTGTGTTCCACCCACCCATAAATAGGCTGGTTCCAGGGAGCTCGCCAGACTCTTTCATTTTTGGTCCTCTCAGACGCTCACCTGTTTTGTTACTCCTCTGGTTTGGACTGCGCTTTGGCCGCCCTTGTTTTTTCTGGGGCCTTTTATTTTTGTTCTGTTTTTTCCTTCCTGGAGCTGTGGCCGGCAGCCTCAGCCACAACTGGTAACTTTTATTGACTTTTTGTTTGTTTTTTGTAGTGGTTTTGGTCTGGTGGGACCGGTTGTCCTGTATTCGTTTTTCTTTTGTAATAGGTGTTTTTCTAGTGTTTTCTAGTTTTAGTCTGGTAGCAGCAGCAGTTTTGACGGCCCTGTATAGGGTTAGCCCACTGCAGTACCTTTTTGTTCTGTTTGACCCACTCACCAGGTCCATCTTTGATTTGGCAGTTTGGGCTTTTGTGTTTCTTGGGTAGACATGGGAATTGGGTATTCATCATAATCTTTTTTTTTTTCCAGGAAGCAGCTTTTTTTTTTAAATAAATTGAATATTTGAACCCTCATATTTGTGTCTCTTCGTTCATCTTCGTGGACGTAACAGTGCCATGCAGCTGTCCACAAATCTGTTTCTCTTGGCAGCTCATTGAAAATAAATCAAGGCAACATGGAAAATTCTTCTGTGATCGGACAAACTTAAATTTTAAATTCCTTTAGGAAACCACAGATGCGCCAATCTCTGTAATAAAAAAGGAGGAATATTTTAGTTTGTTGTCAACCCATAGTTCAAATCTTCCCTCTCTGATGGTATGGAGGTGCATTAGTGCATGAACAGCTTAAACATCTTGTGACAAACTGTTTCTTTAGTGTTTATTTTTGTTGTTGTGGGATGTTCATTTTCTGTCTTTTCTATGTATACAGTTTGTTTTCTGTGCCTCTCTGTGTTTCCTGTCATTTTTCAGTCTGCTTCGGCTCCTGCGTCCTGCCCCGCCCACTTCCACCTGTTAGCTGTTACCATTAATCCAGTCTCAATTTGTCAAGAACCTCTGCCTGCTCAGTCTCTCAAACTTTTCTCATTTGCAGTCTGTCATTTTGGGTCTATGTCCGGTAGCTTTTTATATTACTTTGTGATTTGTTGCCATGTCAGCCTTTTTGTTTTTCCTTGTCTTTTCCTTTCCCCCCAAGTTTTCTGAGTTCCTCATGACAGCCTTCATTTCCTGGATATTAAAACCGTTGTTAAAAGAAGAGGGGATGCTTCACAATGAGAGACACGGCCCAGCTCAAACTTTTTTCAGATTTATTGCTGCCATCGAATTCTACCCCCCCCCCCCCCCCACACACACACACACACACAACAAATAGCAATTTCTTAGTTTCACAGTTTGATGTGTTTACGGTTTCACTGAGAATAAAATGTGGTTTTGAGGTTTACAAATCATTGTTTACATTTTGCACAACATCCCAACTATTTGTGGGGGGATTTATTGTAAATGTGCTTTAAAAAAAATCTAATTGTTTATAACAAATGATTTAAAAAGTACACGCCAGTTTTTTGTCTCTATTGCACATGAACGTCTCTGAAACAATATCAAAGAATATTTTCATTTTGAGGTTTGAACAAGAGGAATAGTCTGGACCTTGGTGACCCGGTGCTGTGAGCCGACCCATTGGGTCTTTGGCTTGTGACCCAAGATTCCAGAAGATCCATCATCCAGCATTTAAATTAACTGTATCATGTGTCTTTTGCAAGCATAAGCATATTTGTGTGAAGAGAAAAAAATGTCCCTGTGTATTCGGGGTAAGTTACAGCGGGCAGAATTATTGCTGGTGCTGACAAACGAGCAGAACATCTCACCTGAACGTCAGATGTCATGACCAACTTCTGCCTTCATTGATTTTGACCTAAAAGCAACATTTACACATATTTAGCTATAATCAAACTTTTTATCACCTTTCTCCAATTATAGATTGTTAATTACCTTAAATTAAATGAATAAAGTCAGGAAAAGTTGAGATTAAACAAAGTTGTGTTCACCTTTCTTTAGAGAGTATCGTGTTGGTTTGTTGCTTCTCGTGCTCTATTCTGTAAAAAAAAAAAAAAAACTCAATATTATTACTTTGTCTTGCAGAACCCCCCCCCCCCCCCCCGTTAATCATGAAAGTGTGTTGCTTACCTTTCTTTCTGTGCTTTTATTTTCTCATCATCATACCTTTGAAAAAACAAAATGAAATCTGAGACTGATGCTGCTTCGTTCAAGTATTTGTTATTCGGCAGAGATGCAGAGTTAAAAAGGTCATTATTTGTGAAAGTAAAGTAGCTAAGTAGTTTGCTTGCTGTTGGCTTTGGTGACTCCCAAATCCTCAAGAATTCAAACGTCCTTTAACTACAAGCAGATTTTAAATCTGAACAATTTCCAGTGTCTTCTATTACAAGTCTAAGTCTTAGTGTCTCTTACAAATTACATAATTTTTGAAAAAAAGCTAATTTATAACTACATTTTGCAACCTGCACATTAAATATCTGCTGTTTTATCTGCCTATTATAACCACAGACAGTCGATAAGATAACAAAAGTTAACATAAAATGCACAAAACAGCTTGAATGTGGTGCTTCAAAGCTACATTTCTATGCTGCTCCTTCCAAAAATATGCACCACGTTTGAACATTCCCCAAAGTACTTCATTAAGCAGATATCTGGTAGCTCCAAGCCAAAGTCTAACTCCTCTTACTCTATAAATGGTGGCTTGATATTTTGGAAGGCACCAAGGGTGTAGGTGTTTCTTTTTGAATTCCTTTTTCTACTGGTCAGTAAATAATAATGACTCCATCTTGAAAGAAACACTCCAAGTTACAACTCAGTTTCTGCACCAACAAGTTATCCATGTTAGATAGTCTTTGTCCTGATTTGTTAATCTCATTCCAAATTCCTTGTAATACACTAGTATGAATATGTGACTTGTTTCAACAGCGCCCCTTGGTGGTTGATTGAACTCACTGCAGCACACATTCAGGGATCTGAACATGCTCCATGGGGATTATGTGGCTCAGTTCCTCCAGGGTGTGAACGTATCGGATCTTATTCATGAACTTCACACTTTAAAAAAACAACACACAAAATACAGTAAAAAATATTTTGTCTGGTCTTCTATTTTCACCAAACCAGACAGCATCACACACATTTTTATTGCTTGCTGTAGAAGATGAAAAGGTGATCATGTTTGCATGTGTAGGGTTGTCAGAGTATCTCATGAACCACTGGATGAGTTTTAATAAAACTTTTAGAAAGGAATCATCAAGATTCACAGCTAAGCAATCTTAGCAAACACAAAACTCTATAACTCTAAGTTTTGCAGCTTTTTGTTGAATTTGGTGTGCTAATATCTGAGAATCATACTAAACATAATCTGGTGCTGAAAAATCTCACAAGACCTCGTAAGGTGGTCAACATGGTTATTTTAAATACACTATGATGTGTAGCTCTATAACATTTTAAATAATCAACATTTTCTGTGCATGAATGATAATGGTCTCCCACCTGATGAAAGGTCTTGAGATGGCCAGGACAGTCCGGATAAACCATGTTGGGTGAACAATGATGAGACACTTCAGATTTTTTCTCAGTCTGCAGAAACATCAGAACACTTTCAGGGAATGTGAGAATTTATCTCACCCTTACATATTTCTCCCCTTCATTTCCACCACTTTGTCACAACTCAGATGTTGCTCATCTTACTTTCTGTCAATCATCTGGTAGCATCTCTTTAGCCAGCTGATTCCAGGCATCTTCCTGCGAGGAGTCGCTCCGTTCAGGTAAACGATCATGTAATCTTCCGCCACCAGCAGCTCCAGGCTGCTCACGACGTACCTGATAAGCAGAAAAAGCAAACTAAACATCTGCTTAAGAACAACACAAACGATGAAAACTGTTACTTTAAACTGGGCTGTTGAGAATCTTATGTGTCATGCAGCCATCCTTAAAAAAAAAGAAAGAAGCTTACAGAAACAGATTCTCCATGATGTAGGCGTAGTCGTCACAGCTGCTGTCGGGGAGATAGCAGGCCGCAAACACGATGATGGCATTCAAACCCTCACCATAATAACCTGAGAGAGCAAAAACAAACTTTAACTAGAGAAATTGCATTTCCTACTAAGATGTAGTGTGAATGCTTATTGCAGAAGAACTTGAGAAACAGCTGAATTTAGCTAAAAAAAACATGTTAAAATGTAGCTGAAATGGAAGAACAAGCCTAAATTAGTAGAAGAAATTAGAAAGAACACATACTTGCACAAATAGGTTTAAACAGGCAGAAATTAGCACAAAAATTAGGAAATTAGCTAAAAAAGCTGAATTTAGAAAAAAAAAATCTGAAAAGCAGCTGAAAGATAGAAAGAAATTTAAACTATCAGAAGGAAGCTGAAAGAGTTTAAATGAGCTCAAAAAATGTAGAATTGGCAGAAAAAGCTAAGATTAGCATAAAAACAGCTAAACATTAGCTGTTCTAGCAGAAACAGCTGAAACTAGCACAATTAAACTGAAAGGTGCATAACAAGCTGAAATTAGCCTGAAGAAGTTAATTAGACTGATAGTAGCAGAAATTAGCATGAAAAGCTCAAATTTATCTGAAAACAGGTTAAATTAGCTAAAAAAAATGTTAACAAGTTAGCTGTAAAGGTGGAACAAGGTTAAATTAGCTGAAGAAAGCAGAAAGAACACGTTTGCCCATTTAGGCTTAAATAAGAAGAAATTAGCACAAAAAGTAAAAATTATCTGAAAAAAGCTGAACTTAGGAAAAAAACAGCTGAAAAGCTAAAAAAGCAGAAAGAAGCTGAAATTACAAGGACGTGGAGAGAGAGCACATTTTTGTTGAATTAGGCTGAAAAAAGTTGAAATGGGGCCAAGCTGGTGTAGAGGCAGGGCAGCCGACTCGGGACCCGAAAGTCCCAGGTTTGATCCTGATCACTGCATACCTTGTGGTGTCTCTGGGCAGCACACCTTATCCCCAAAATGCCCCGGCGCAGCTTTCAATAGTTGCCCACTGCACCACCTGATGGTGGATGGGTTAAATGCAGAGACTAATTTCGCCATTGTATGGAAACATACGGTGATGACAATGTGATAACATTATAGAAAATATGTGGAATTAGCTGAGAGCTTAAATTAGCATAAAACACCTATAGCAGCTGAACTAGTAGAAAAAACTGAAACTTGCAGAAATAAGTTGAAAGGAGCATAACAAGCTGAAATTAGCAGAAAGAAGTTCGAAGAAGCACAAAAATGTTGTAGTTAGCAGAAAGAATCTGAAACGAGCACAAAACAGCTGAAAAAACAGCTGAAATTAACTGAAAAAAAGTTTAAATTTGCACAAGGAAGCTGAAAGAAGTTGAACCAGGACAAAATGTAAAAGCAGCAGTAAAAGGTTGTAAACAGATGTAAAGATTTGAAGGATGTAAAATAAGCTTAATTCATTTTCTCTGAGAAAAAGTGGCAGAAAAAGCTAAATATTTGAAAAAGCTAAAGTTGCACCAATACCAAAAGTCATAGCACCCTTTGTCTGAAAGAGCAGAACGTTTTGATTCATGATTTTTTTTTTAAATAGCTTGAAAACTGCAGGACTAGAAAGATGCCAAAAAAATGTATGGAAGAAAAATGGATCGCAATAGTGTGAATGCTTCATAAACATTCACACAATTAATTTCTCACTTTTAGCTCATTTAATTTAAAGCAGATTTCTTGTTCTGTTTGCTGCCTTGTTGTGACTGATAGAGATTCTTAAATTCTGGTGCGCTTTCAGCACCGTCCCACGAGGCTGAAGTAGTCAGGAAGTTGTAACGCTGACGCTCACACACACCGACTGACCTCCATGCGTAACAACCCGCAGGTAAGGTCTGATGATCTGCATGTCGATCCGCTGCTCCTGATCGCCGATAATCACCGTTCGCCACAGACGTCCAGATGAGTCTCTCACCTCTTCACTGTCGCCTGGAAAACGCTTGGCTGTGGCGACAGGAGTGTCGTCTAAAACAAACAAAGACACCACTCTTCGTTTGGTAAGTTCTTCGTAGTTTTCCAACATTTTTACTGTTTGTAAAAGAGGTTTGGTCATAAATCAGTTAATTTCCCCAACGTTACTCTTTAGCAGATGTGTTTCAACACTGTACATGAAGATTTTGATCCAAGCAAAAGCTTTAGGTGTTGCTTTATTCTGTCATGGTAACAAAGGAACTGAGCTGAAAGGCAGTGCTCTCCATACACTGATTCTTCTAGATTCCAACCCTTATTTATAGTTGTGTGGTGATTATGCCCAAAAAGAAGATCCTGTGTACAAGTGGCTAAATGAGCTTCCCCTTTATACTGGCTGAGCTCATAGTAAGGAGTTGTGCTTGGAGTTGATTCAGGGCTTCTGATTAAGATGCCTCCTGAGTTTCTGTCTGAAGGGTTTCCAAACTGGGAGGAGACCCCTTGAGGAAGACCCAAAACTCACTGAAGGGAATATACATGTCCCCTCTGGCTGTCTGGGCTTCCCTCCTGAAACTGTTGTTTGAGCAAACCTAATATAGATAAGTGGAAGAAAATGGATGGAAAAATGGAAAATAGTGCAACATTCAGACCTGTCCAAGCCATGTTTATCAAGACATTTAATGCTGTTTTTTGTAATTCCTATTAATATTTCAGATTGGCAGCAATAACTGAGAGGACAGTGGTGAATATCTGGAGTTAGTACCAGTAACTTTACAAATATCTGCCTCTTGGCCTTAAAGCATCTCAGTTTCATCCAAAGGTTTCCAAAACTGCTTTTCTGACCTTCCCACTCCAGCTCGGTGCCATTGTTCATGAATTCGAGTGAGTCGGTGTCATCAGGAGTCTCGATGTCGTCAACATTGATGTCTAGGTCGTCCGGTGTCTCCAGGAAGTCGTCGGAGAGCACAGAGCCCTCGCTCCGATCCAGAGACAGGTTCATGTCCGGGGCAACCAGTGTGCGTCTCTTTCTCTGGTCTATGGAGTCCCTGACATTTAGACTGGTGGGAGTAGCTAAAAACATCAGGGACGTGTAAATATATTGAATGGTGAGAAGAAGTAAGTTATCTAATACCGTTTATGTTCCACTTACTGGTTCTGTTGTCTGTCAGGACACATGAGTCAGCATCTCCATCCTCTGGAAGTGGCCTGCAAAGTTAAAAGAAAATCACAACTTTTGCTACTATTTTTGCGTACTCTAGATGTTTGTAACTTTTAGTTTTAAGCTGACCTTCTGCTATTTTTAGCTAGCCTTTTGCTTATTTAGCTTTCATTTAGCATTTGGCTAGTTTTACTTAGGGGTTGGCTACGTTTACCTAACACGTTGCTGCTTTTAGCAAGTGATTTGCTTAGGTTAACTTTTAGCTTACATGTTGCTGCTGTTAGCCACTTTAGCTACTTTAGCTAGCCTTTTAGATGAAATTATTATTTTTTAGCTTCCAACTAGCTTTTTCTTATTTTTAGCTAGACTTTTTCTTTTGTTACTTTAAGCAAACTTAATGCTTACTTAGTATTTAGCTAGCATTTTTAGAGAGCTCTTCACAACTTTTAGCTCATGTCTAACCTGTTGCTGCTTTTAGCTAGAGTCTTGCTGCTTTAAGCTTCTAGCTAGCAGTTTATTGTGTTTAGCATTTAGCAATCATTTACCTCTTTTAGCTTTAACAACTCAGTTTTAGTTTTAGCAAATTTCAGCAAATCAACACTCTGCAATTAGGCCTACACTGTATTTTCACAGACATTGCCATTTTTTTAGTTTAGCAAACATAATATTTTTTTTTTATACAGTACATGATATTTAAAAAGACCTAAGTAGTTTTATCTTTATTTAAAACTTCAGTATGTTTTGTGGCTTTGGACAAGTTTTATTTAGCAAGAAAAGTGCATGAAAATTGTGGGCTGATGCTTCCCTGCTGCCATGGTAACTGTTTTGTGCTTTTAAGACAAGTATTAAATTCAATCATTTGAAAAGCAATGTGCAGTAAAAATTCACACAGTAAAGTGCAAACACAAAGTCTTGCTCTTCCTTTTTGGAGAGATGCTGTCTGGTAATTTAATCGTACTGCACCTGAGGAAATAATTTCAACTTTTACATAAAGCAACATCTATAATTACCAACGCTAAGTGTTATGACAACAGATGCAGCTTCAGTGTGCAGAGATGAAAGATTACAGACAACAGCATGAGTTTTTTTACCAACACACACAGAAAGATAAAGACATTAACACAGAAATTCATTCACAAGCACACCCTAAAGCGCCACAAGTACGGGCTAGTTAATAGCTGCGAGGATAATAGTTATTATGTTGTCAGAGGCTTTGCACTAACATTTCTGCAGCAAAGCTTTGATCAGGAAAGGAAAGAAAGCCAATTTGGAATGAAAAATCATCCTTCACGTGAATAAAAACCAAACCAAAAGTAGTGGGTGAGTGATTTTTCTCCTGCTTTTTCCCCACTTTCTTTATTTTTATCTCTGCCAGCTGCTATTTTGTTCCCTGACATGATCCTATCGCATAATGATGGAAAGCACACCTGCTTCCTCTCGAGCACACACATGAATGACTTTCCATCACAACCTGACCTGTTGGTCCCAAGCTGGGTGTAAACTAACCAAACTTCAAAGCTGTTCTCTGCTACTCTTCTGACAAATACCTGGGGAAGTCCTCGTCCTGCCACTCGTCCTTCACCTCCATGCTGTCCATGCGTAAAGTGGCTTCTGCTGTTCCCATCCTCTGCCCGGGAGGAGGGACCTCGGCTGTTTGCGAACAACAAAACACACATCATTTTTCTGTCAGTGACAGATCGCACAATATAATAGAAACTGCTGTTAGCTGCGTTCAAGAAGGACTACACCCGTGTTACACAACCCTGTTGATTTGATTTGGATTATCTAAACTTAGTTTGTAAAAAGGTGGGAGGCTGTAATTATATATAAGCTTTACAGATTTAATGTTGGGGGAGTGAAATTCAATGTGAGCCTTTTCAGTTTCCATTTGCTCCAAATGAATTATTTTTAATTTTCTCAAAAAAAAAAAAAAAGAATATTAAACTGATTAAAATACAGAAAAGTACGAACTTCATGACTGCGTCTAGTATTTATGAGCTGTAACATGAAGGTTTGGGCAGCAGCAGGTTGGCATAATTATCTTCTGCCACCAAAATGGATGCCAAAGCCATAACTAATCATTAAAAACAAACACTAAAATAGGTACAAGTCAGTCAATTTTACAGATATTGAACTAAAACTTAATATGGTTGAAGCTGAGAGTCATTTATAACTCATACTCTGTCCGTGACATATCACCGTATTACATGAAATTGCTCTTATTATTTTCAAAGTTTCCTTCAATAAATTCTTGACCTTTAGATGCTTGACTAGATTTGTTTTTCTTCAAAGCTAATATGAGCTAAAACATGTTCAACACACATTTTAACACAAAGTTGTTATTTAAAGATTTAAATAACAGGGAAATGTGTATTATAAGAGTTTAATAAAGCCCAGTGAATGTGTCTTCGTAGTATCCATAGAAAAGAAGAACAAAAGAGATCCATCAGTCCCACACCAACTTCTTCCTTTTATACAACCAAAACAGAAGCCTCAATCATCTACAATAGATTTCTGCTGTTAGAATTTGATCTACAGCTTTAGTTTCTTGTATTTGACTTATTTAAGGCTGTCTAACATCCTAATATCAGTCAAGCAGAGGAAACATGGTAATGATGTTGTGTCTGACCTATGTCGCTTTCCCAGCCTGACTATAGCAGACGTTACTTCGGTCCATTTGTCCACTGGGATGGCACTGATTTGCTACAGCTTGCCCATTTGTAAAAATAAAACATCAACAACAAAAAATGATGCTATTTCCAGGCAAGTAGCTACAAGCTTTTAAAATATAGGCTGCTGGCACTGCTTTGCTGAGATTGTACTGAATACTCTGTTTAACCTCTAGAATAAATGGCAATGCTTCATGTATGCTCATTCTCACTTTTGCCTTTGACGAAGATGGTTGCTCTTCCCCTCCCTCCCTCCCTCCCTCCTGCTTTTTTTGCCCTCTTGTCCTGTTAACCTCAGAGCCTCTCTTTACACATCTTCTGAATAGAAAATTATAGATTTGGTCAGCTGGTCCCTCAACACAATTGATATTTTTTTTCCACCAGCTGACAGGGTGCTGTAGAGCCCTCATGCCCTGAACGGACCCACGCAGCTTAGTATGTCATTGATTCCTGGAGTGAGTGGAAGATGGTGTGCCTATCTGTTCTGTCCGTGGAAGATGTAGAAGATGTAGAAGATGTTTACATTATTGGATTTTTGATAACAGGGTTTCTGCTTTTTGTAATCAGCAGATAGCTTGGATATCCATAAATTAGGAAGATGATGGCAGCAGTTTTGGCCTTGGTAAAGCTGCCAGCATTATGTGAAGGATTCATCTGCGCCTCGATCTCTCAATCCATATGCTTACTGAGCTCAACTGCAAGCTGGACGCTATTTTTGAGAATCGTAGGCCACTTGTGGCTCCTGGAACTTGTCAGCAGGATTCAAACTTGGAGAATGCTAAATCGAGCACGGACGGGGCAGAATGTCCACTAATTCTGGCTGTGTGGATTCACCATTGAGTGTACCAGCAGAACATGAAGGCAGACAGAAAACAGAGTCTGGTAGCCCAAACAATTGTTGTTTATCTGAATTTGGCCTCCCCGCTGGCCTTGGACAGGCCAACTTATCTCAAATTGCTCCTGGAGGATACGTAAACTAGAAGCTCTGCCTGCCACCCCATCTCCCGATGACATCTGTGGCCTTATCAGAACCATGATGCTGATAGACACTGTATATTGCAGCTTTATATTGCAATGCCTTTATTTATTTTTTCATCTTTTATACTGTTTCCCAGCCAGAAAATGGTGTGAGACATGAATAAAAAAAAAATTAAAAAAAATTGGGCTTCCTCCATCCTCATGTTCTCTTTTTCTCATCTGCCTGTATGTTGTATGTAACAGGTCTTGCTTGTAAATCAGTCTTCGAGGCTCAGTGGGAACTAACCTGTATAAATAAAGGTCTAATAATAATAATAATAATGTAAACTAAATGGTGAATTCTGTTATTGGCATGTATTTTTTTAATGTGAATGCTGATTTTTAAAGCTCAGCTGTTTGTTTTATTCAGAGAACATTTGATATATGGACACAAAGTAATGACACAAAGTAATGATGCTGCGACCTGTTATGTGGGGATTTGTGTTTGATGCCATGGCTGCCTGAATTTCCCTCGCACTGTCACAGACTTTGAACATCAGTGTCACTGACAGTAAGCAAACTGTTTAAAGAGCAAGTGTTTTTTATATTTTATTTAATTTTTTTGCTTTTCATGTACTGGTACTGTTTTCCTAACAAGAACTCCTATTTTAAAAATCAGAGTAAAGCAGGCTTTAAGAAAAAATCCCTTGGGAAAAGTTGAATTATTTTTGTGATTGCATGGCTTGCAGCTTGATTCACAGTGATAGATTCATTAAAGAATCTAATGATTTTGTCTAATACTTCACAGCTGATGATGATCATAATTTACTGATGATGATTAAACACTTGTCACCACAACATCTTTTGTTGCTGCTTCCATCAAATTCAGCCATTTTTTCTTTACCAGCTTTTCCTTTCTGAGTCATGGGAAACCGCGGTTCCAATCCCCAGCAGTCATTGTGCAAGATGTGGGAGAAAACCTGGACTGGTAGTAAGTTCATCACAGGTACACAGAGACAAACAACCATCTCTTCATACCTTGGGACAATTTAGAGTTACCAAAAAACCTCGCATGCATTTTTTTTTGTCTACGAAGAAACCGAAGTAACTCGGAGAAAACCCACGCATGCACGAAGAGAACTTGTAAACTCCATAGAGAAAGGCTCCAGACCGGGAGGCAAACCTGGAACCTTCTTGCTGAGAGGCGAGAGCTCTAACCACTTCTCCACTGTGACCAAAATAGCCAAAGATATGGGCCAATTTCTAAGCATTTTTATGTTTACCATGCTCCATTGTGAATGAGGTTATGAAATTTGCAAATCACTCCATTTTGTTTAGATTTACATTTTACTAAATGTCCCAACTCATATGGAATTGGGGTTGTACCATCTGTGCCTTCCTACAGAGGAATGTAGAGAAGCGTTGTAAACATCTGTGTTTAGAAACATCCAATTCCATTAACAGGCAACGATACTCACGTATTTTGATAAAGCTCTCCTTTGTATTGTCGACTTATTCCGTGTTTCTTTAAAGCTGCTGACCGAAGGTCATTTTTTGTTTTATTCTCCAGGTGATACGCTCATGTATTCAAGAACTGGACCGCTGCACAATTCCTGTTGCTTGGAGATGCGGCTGACGAAGGCAAGGAAGCAAAGTGTTCCCCCCTACAGAGAGGAGGACGATGAGAAGCTGACATCATCTTGTTGTCACATTTTTTTATCATCTTAAGCCATAGATGCTACTTAGTTTGGACAAAATGATATCCTCCTTTCTCTTTGCCTCTGATTTACTTCTGTTCTCTCTCCTCTCCTCACCCCCCCCCCCCCCCCCCCCCCCCCCCCCACCACCACCTCACCCCAGGCTCTAATCCCTCTGATGATGTCAGCTCTGTGAGAGCTGGAATATGATGGTTATGTAACCGTAACCACCACTGCCTACCTTCTGTTTGATTCTCTCAGGATTCTGTTTGAGGTCACGATCACCTGTTTGTCTCACATTCAATCCATTCTGCGTCCATCACCCGTTGAGTTTCCATTTTCCTGTGAGCCGTTAAAGACGGATCTCTCTATTTCAGCCTTGTTTCCTTGGCAACAGCATCTTCCAGTATTTCTCCCGGTTCTTTTTCTCCCCATCGAACGTAACCTCTTTCACTTTGCATGAAACTCCTCCTCCACATGAACTCACCTCCTCTCCTTTAGCTTGTTGGCTGTGATGCTGCTCCTCCTTTCTCCCTCTCTCTGTCCTCACAGCTGCTCTGAGCTCTGGGCGACGTCAGAAAACACAGAGGTCTTCTCCCGTATCGCTTTCATCAGCAACAGATTCTTGTTTTTTTCCACTGACCATTTTCCACTCATGTGTTTACTCATTCTATTGTTAATGCAACACTGCTGGTATACACTAATAGGAGTATTTTGGTGTGTCGTCTGCTAGCAAAATATCTCATGAACCACTGGACAAATGTCAATGAAACTTTCAGTCAATAATTATTCGTTGTACACGTCAAGCTGATTGACTTTTGAGATGCCCTAAACAGGAAACTTTCCAATAATGAGAAGACAAAAGTCTAAAACACATGGCATGAAAGGTGGCAGGCGACATACATTTTTTAAAAGAATGTTAAGCTAGTCACAATAAAGTCTTCCCCAAATTTTAATTTAAGCCAGTGTGTTTATTTGTTTTATATAAGAACTGTACGTGCTTGTTTAAGGCACAGGGATCATAATGGCTCCAGTCATTGCCAGTGTAACTGGGTCACGGACCATTCGGCCAGCAGATGGTGCCAAATAAATAAAAAAATGAAATAATTTAAAGGTATAAAGAAAAATACACAGATTAGACTGATCTAATGTTCACTTTACACATTAGCACATTGAGCAACTTCTTTTAAAACAGTGATTATTTTGGGAAAAAAAGTCACGATTTTAGTGGATAAAATCACAAAATTAAACATGAAAATGTTTAATTATAATAATTATAAACCTTTGACAGTTAGATGCATTAAAGTACATTACATTATCAAAGTACAGAGAATATAATTTAGCAAACTTACTTTTCTCCATGACAGCACCATCTATTATTTTTCCTTTAATTAATTTTCTGTAAAAGCTTATCTCACATCAAGAGTTTACTCAAATAATCGTGCATTTCCTTATTTTCTAATAAGTGATGCTTTTAATTTTTGCACGGATCCTTCAAGAATCTCAGAGAGATTGCGTTTCGTCTTCCACCATCATTTTTCTTGCAGGACTGGAATCCCACAGCTCAGGTTTGGACAGATGCTGAACGACACCAACACCGATACAGTCACCCAGCACATTGGTGACGGTCCTCAGACGATCCCTGTGTCAACACAGACATGAGATAGAGGATAGAAATCATTTAAGTAGCTCATTTGTTACAGGATACTTCCTGAGTAAAGCTCAACAGATTTACAGGTGAAATCAAATTAAACCTAAATAGTTTAAAGCTACACAATCAGGCCTGTATTAAACAAATGAGTGCACTTACAGGATCCAATCAACAATTATGAGCAGAGAAATGTTTTCAGTGGGCAGTCCAGTTAACTCCAATATAATCAGCATGTTAACCATCCCAGCCTGTGGGATGCCTGCTGCACCAGTGCTGGCTGCTGTAACAATCAAACTGGGGAAAGATGACAACAGTCCTTCTTTAACCGTTTTAAGTAACATAAATGCATGCAGACACGTTAAAAAATTACAAGCCTAGCATTCCTTGAAGAAATACAGATCACCTGCTGCCTTTTAGCTTAGTGCTAACCCCCACATTAAAAACATTACCAGAACCGCTTTCTTCCACCTGCGTAATATCACTAAAATTAGAAACATCATATCTAAAAATTATGCCAAAAAACTGGTTCTAACCAACAAAACCCTCAACAACCTAGCTCCATCTTATATTACAGATCTAATTGTTTCATATTTTCCTAACAGAGCACTTTGCTCTCGGATTACAGACTTACTCGTGGTCCCTAGAGTTTCCAAAAGCAGAATGGGAGGAAGATCTTTCAGTTATCAGGCTCCTCTCTTGTGGAACCAACTTCCAGTTTCTGTCCATGAGGCTGACACATTGTCCAGTTTTAAGTCCGGGCTTAAGACTTTCCTTTATGATAAATCCTATAGTTAGGGTTGGCTTGTTATGCTGCTATAGGCTTAGACTACCTGAGGACAAATTGACCCCATTTCCTTAAACAATTTGTTAAAATTGAATAGTTTTCATTTGATTCTATTTCTATCTTAACATGTGATTCTTGACCTGCCATTGTGTATCTGTTCCTCTCAAACCCAGCCGGTCAAAGCAGATGGCCACTTGTCCTGAGCCTTGCTTGCTCAAGATGAGAGTCTGTGATGAAGTTAAACTCAAAGCAGTCTGCTCTTCAGATAAATAATGTTATTAACTTATGTTTTATGTATATGAATGTTTCTGTTCAGTTCCTTGAGATGATTTCTGTTGTGACTTGGCACTATATAAATAATAAACTGAATTTAATTTACAAAGTAATTGTTTTAAGCTAAATCTTCCTATGTTGAGAAACTAATTTTAGCCCTTTTGGTTAAACTTTGAAAATAGCATTATGCGTCCAAATCTCATGCTATACCATAAGATTTAATTCTCAGAGCATGTGTTGAGGATGACTCCCAGCTACCACCACGCCAAATTTTAGGTCAATATCTGAAAAAATTTACTGAATTATACTTTGTAGTTCACACACATACAAGCATGAGCAAAAATGTTTTCCGTTTGTCTTAATTGCAGAAGCATGAAATGTAAATTGTGTTATGGAACCATAATTGTGCTTCATATTTTTTGTCCCCAAAATCAATCAAAAACCTTGCACTTCTTAATAACTCTAAAATTATAATACCCCCAAATTACACATACAGTACTCTAATTTTGAAAGCCTCGTGTGTTTTATTCACATTCCAATCTAAATGTTTTTCCTGTCTAATTAGCTTATAACATGCATTTGTAAATGACAAACAAAAGTAAAATATTCTAATTTAAAGAAAAAGTACCTGAGGGCAATGATTTGCCCAAAGTTAAAGTCCATGTTGTGAATCTGAGATATGAATAAAACAGACACCGCTTCATAGAGAGCGGCACCATCCATGTTCACGGTGGCACCCATCGGGAGCATGAAGCGGGTCACGCGTTTGTCCATGTTGTGGTTCCGCTCCATGCAGTGAAGAGTAACAGGCAAAGTTGCAGAACTGTTAAATAAAATATGCTGTTTTTTAATTGCTCACATTGTCTCATTGAGCGAAAGTGTGTAAAACTGTATTTACCTTGATGAGGTGCCAAATGCTGTGGTGAGAGCCTCAAGGACTCCTCCAAAAAATCTCAACGGATTATTTCGTGTCACTATGAAATAGATGAGTGGCAGCGTGACGACGCTGTGGATCACCAGGCCGACGATCACAGTCATGGCATACATGGCAACTTCGTGAGCTACATCTGCTGTGTCTGTCATCTTCACTACCTGCCCTGCCAGTAGGCAGAGGATTCCCACTGGAGAATACCTGTCAAAGGAAAAGGTGAGATGCATTATGGGAGATCTTTCACCTTTGGCCTATACATGATATGATTAGCTTTCCCTTCTTACCAGATGACCATATTCACCAGAAGCATAATGGCTTCATTCAGACAGATAAAAAAATCCTTGAGGGGTTTTCCTTTTGACTCCATATGGCTCAGGATGAGGCCGAAGGCAAAGGAGAAGACCAACAGACCCAAAATATTGATGCCATCTGAGGTTCCTGCCTTTGGTACTGACCAAAGATACAACAATGTCAAACTAGAAGTGACTTATTGATACCAAGAAGTGAATTATTGATACCAATACATATGAAGAACAACAAGAGCCTCACTCTTTGAAGATGCATTCATGACATCCAGATGATTCGCTGAAGACTCATAAACTGTTTTATACTGAATAAGAAAAGAGGACAAGCAAACGTTAGTTGTGACAGTATGACACAATGTGAAAATAGAAACAGGAATAAAAACTTAATTGATCTTACTTTTCTGAAACAAGCTTCAACCAGGTTTGATGGGAACATATTTCTGAAAAGCATAATGCCCATTAAAAAAACAAAAACATACAGGATGCAGCGTTCAGGTACTCGGAGAAGGCTTTTATTCACACCTGATCAGGTCGAGGAAAGTGTCCACATTCTGCACAACCTCAGCTTTTCCATCAGAGGGATATGAGGTTTTCCCAGATTTCCCTGGTTTGATGGAAAGAGCCAGAGCTATGCCAGTGAATCCAGCAATAACTGTAGTGACCATGTAGTAGCAGGTGGCTCGAAGTCCAATTCTCCCAGAAGCCTTTATGTCTACGTTTGACGCGCCTGCAGTTCAAAGAGGTAGCTGTAACATGCTAGCAATAAAAGTAAATTAAACCCATTAAAAGTCTTATTTTGTGAACTCTTTCAGAATTCCATCCTTCCATTAGCTTTACCCGCTTCTTCCTTTTCAGGTCATGGAGGTCAATGGTGCCCATATACATTATTTTTCTCTCTCTCTCACACTTGAGGTGGCTGCTTATCTTTCCTCTCCCGTTTTTTTTTCCCCCTTCCCCTGCTTCGCTCTCTGTGTGTCTGAAGTGCCTGGTTCATATCTCCCGAATGTAAATTAAGATTATGGATCTGGTATCCTGGACATTCAACGCTATCGACAAGGAATTTTTTTCAACAAAACAGGTTCTTTTTTAAATTATTTTTATTTACAAGGTTACAAAGTTTCATTTACTGTAGCTTCTTATCTTTTGCTGTTCTCATACAAACGTTTTGGAACATTTTGTTCATTTTGTCTAACCTGATAAATCGAAACAGCAGTTAATCATTTTTATTTATTGTCAACTCAAGGGACCTCACTTGAAAAAGAGGGCTGCAATTTCAATGGGATTTGCCCAGTTAGTAAGTAAGTTTATTTTGGCTGCTCCCTTCTTCAGGGGTCACCACACTGAGTGAGCTAGCATGAAAAATTTGGCACTTGTTTTACAACAGATGCATTTCTTGATGACACCATTGGCTAGAACCAGCAGCTCCAGAATTGCAAGTCTGCACTTTACCATTGAGCTACCACAACTCTCTTTCCCTGGTTAAACAAACAAAAAAAAAAAATTAATTGGGTTTTACCGTAAATCAACTTATATAGGAAATTATCATAAATCCAGGCTGAGATTTAAACCAAAATGAGGATCCCACCTGCAATCAGGCTGCAAACAACGAGAGGAAGCATCATCATCTGTAAGATTCTCATCAGCAGCTCTCCAGGAAAAGTTACATACATTATTGCACTGGCTGACATATTAACCTGTCGCAGAGCAAAGCCCAGGCCGATTCCTCAGGAAGACAAAAATCAGAAAGTCAGGGTTGATACACATATGGCACAACTAACAAAAAACTGACAGGAATATAATCTATGAGCGAAACAAGTCAGATTAAAAGACATTTTAACATTCCTCTTACCTGCTGCAACAGCAATCATTGTGAGAGACACAAAAGCATTTTTCTTTAAAAATGGCCAAACTTTGCATTTTTTCTGAGTCAAAGTTACTTCAGTTGAAGCTTCAGGACATCCATGGATCATCTGGTTATCTTCAAGATGGATCATCTCTCCTGACTTAGTTGTTTTAGAGTTCTGAAGCTTCTTGCTCATAATTAATTCCTGCCACTAGAATGACTGCAGAAGAAAGGAGAAATACTTTGGTGTAACACTGACAACTGACTTTTCAGACTGGTACTGCAGTCCAAATTTAAAACCGCGGAGAGCATCCCTCCCCTTCTGTCCTCGCTAAAACAATTCAGTGACTAGAGGCAAAAATGTGACAGTCTTCAATTTGTCTGCTTATTTTCTTACAGTTTTCTTACATTAGTCTTTACAGGCTCCCCCCATTTTAATTTCTGCATAAATGAGAATGAAATACATCAGGAAGTGATCCCATGAATTGACAATTGCTCAGGGAAAATCAGTTCAGAGTGATAAGTGGGGTATAAAGGCAAAATGTTTAAGTAATTCCAAACTCATTACAAATAAGTCCATCACATTTAATTTAACATCTTGTGAGTAATTTATGTTTCTTAAAGGGCAAATTAAAGGTGCTACTAAATGGGCACATAAATAAATAAATAAAAATGCCTACTTTTATTTATAACATAGGTAAAACAGTTAATTAAATAAACGTGCAAATCGATTTTTATAGTGAATGAATGTGTCTTAAAATAATTTCAGCTCAAAGATTTAATTCAAATGAGACACTTCAGTTCTTCTGGTCATCCAGCCGTGACAATGACTTGTCAAGACATGGATTTTTCTGTGATATCTGGTAGCGTGGTGTCAAAGGTACAAAGGTACAAAGTTCTTTATTTGGTATTTGTGCACAGACCAACAATTCAGGCACATAGGAATTCTTGTGCAGAGCTCTCTCAGTTATAGTCAAAACGCTGAAACCACACTAAATAAAATAAAATACGTAAGAACAAAGTGGTTTGTATCTACACAAAACAGAATGTAAACCTTGTCACATGACAAGTGAAGTTATGTAGTATAGGGTTATTATTACACCTGATCAATAGTTTAGTTTTGCCATCAGTCTGACTGTGGCAGGAAAAAAAACTGCTATAGGTGATAATGATAATCTGCTCTACTGTGCCTCAGGTTATATGAACATTTCTTGTGTCTGGTAAGAGAGAGAGCTGGATGGAGTGAGTCCTTGATGATTCCAGCTGCTCTTTTTTGACAGCGCTGCACAAACATCGAGTCCATGGAAGGAAGTTTTGTCCCTGTGATCTTCTCCGCTGTCTTTATGACTCTTTGCAGTGCCTTCCTTTCTGCTTGTGTGGTGTTCCCATAGCAGACGGCGATGCCTGTGGTTAGGTTACTCTCTATCAGTCCTCTATAGGCCAGGGTGAGAGGCCTGGGTGTTATTGCCTAATCAGGTGTCCTTTCCACCAGATTTAACAGAAACGCAATAAAGAACAGTCCTGAAAGTCCCAGTCTGAGCATGGAGCTCATCCATTTTGTTATCCAGAAATTGAACATTTGCAAACAGAATGACCGGGAAGGTTAGCCTTCCATTGTTCACCAAGTGCCGGAGCCTTCGGTCAGTTCTTCACCGTCTTCCACGTCTCTGAGAAATTTTAGTATCTTGGGATTTTGTTCATAAGCTACGAGAAAATGGGGCATGCAATTCACAAACAGATTGACGCAGCGTCCACTGTGTTGCATGCACTGTGCCGGTCCATTCTGGTGAGATGCAGCTGGCTGGCTGGCTGGCTGGCTGGCTGGCTGGCTGGCTGGATGGATAGCTGGCTGGATGGATAGCTGGATGGATAGCTGGTTGGCTGGCTGGCTGGCTGGCTGGCTGGCTGACTGGCTGGCTGGCTGGCTGGCTGGCTAGCTGACTGGCTGGCTGGCTGGATGGATGGATGGATGGATGGATGGAT